TCGAGATTGAGGAGGAGGAAGATGGCATGGGGGGACAACCTTCAGAAGCGAAGAAGCGCCGAACCGAGGTGCGTGACATCCGTGATCGTTTTGAGAAGCTGATTTCAGATGCATTGGATGTTCAATATTGTTTCATTTGTGGTGGAAGGCATGGCATTGACGAATGTACTACACCAGATGATGAGAACATGAAGGACACCATATGGCGCATGAGGTTGATCATGGATCAGAAGTCCAAATCCCCATCATCATCCGAAAGATCCAAAGCTGCAACCAGAGGCAGAAAAGACAAGCTCCCAAAGAACGTCATGCCACGAGGAAAGCGTTGGGGAAGAACCAGATTCACTGAGAAAGAGGAAGTGACCAAGTGCTTCTACAGTCAGTCAGCCTTTATGTACGACATTGGTGATCGTGAAGAAGGAGGACAATACTTAGTGAATGGTGTCGAAGTCAACCCAATTAGCCGAGGTGTGAAGAATCGTCATGAGCTTGACTTGCTGATTGAGCGTGCGGCTGAGGAATCCCCGCCTGTTTTGCCGACCATTGAAGAGCTGAACGCTTGGAACCCCCTTGATCATGATGCTTATGTAAAATGGCTTATTGAAGAAAGAAAACAACGTGGAGACAACTGGAACTTCAAGTACATCCAACCATTTACACATGGCCACAACATTGGTACACTTCAACTTGCTCGCATTAATGGAGAAGAATATCTTGGAATGGGCTGGTGTAAAGTGCATCGATATGGCGAGAATGAGTGGATGGGCAACAAGTGGGAAAATCCGCCATGGATAGTCGAATTGTCAAAAAGATTCAATGCAGCGCTACGCCACTCCGTGGGTTGCGTCAGAGACAGTCGAAATCACCGTGGACTACCATGCGACGAGGCAGGTTGGGTCAATGTTGAGTCGATCTTGAAGTACGATGCCATTTGGAAAGACCAACATACTTTGGCTGGAACGACCTACGTCAACTACCCGATACTTGTTGAGAGGTGGAACAACTTCCAGAGAGTGATCTTCACTGAGTACAAGCAAACGAAGAGAATCCGAGCACAAGTGCTAGGACTCAAGGTCACGAAAGGTGAGTTGGAACACATCATGAACAACTTCAATGATGGATTGACCTCTAGACTTGATCGACAAACACTGAGGATGGAGATCGGCACAGCAGATCGAGAGATTTGGCTTTGGCCGGTGGCAATCCGTGCCCCTATGGCGCATTCAAGAGTTCAAGGCGGTGTGCACATTGAAGACAAGAAGACTTCATATCAGATGAACCCTGGAGTAGGATACACTCTTGGAGGAGGATTTCATTGCACCACATTTGACAACATCGCTCAAATCTTCAGAGAAGGACTACGTCCAGGAGGAGGAGGCGACCGCATCAATACGTTCTTCGTGCCATTCGCGCCGTGGGATGTGAGAAGTCAAATGGTGCTGAGATTCAGGAAGATTGATCAAACTGATCTTGTCTACATCTACATCACGTATGATTCCATCGCCAAGTTCTCCCCTCGATTGTCAGCAGACGGACACATTTTGGTCCAAGAAACAATTCCATTCGAATCATTCGATGCAGTTTGGTATTACGACTGGAGAGAAAAGGACTACTACCGTCTCATGATCACGAAGGGAAGAGATCAACTTGTTCTTTCTGTGCAAGGTGCAAAGAGGGTGGCCACCATTGAACGATTTGACAAGCTCATTGGAAACATTGTGCCTGAAGAATCATCACCCGATCTAGACGAACTTCGAAAACTTGTCGATATCAGGACCGGTCACTTCAGTCATACTCACAGATTGTTCCCTGGACATCCGGATTGGAATGATGCAATTTCATTATTGGCAGTCACTCATCACCCTAGCAAAGAGGACCATCGACTATGCCCCGCATGTCTGATGGAGACCCCTGCGCCATTATCGATTTGTGTGATGTGCAAAGGATTTTTGATGAGTCATGGATGGAGGAAACGAATCAAGATCACCGTGGCTACAGTACCAAGTACCGAATCGCATCATCGAGAAGAAGATCTCAAAGACCATGTCAAGAAAGCATGGGAGGAGGTGAAGATCGATTTGACAGGTGATGATGATGACGACGAGGTGATGCCAGATGATGATGATGTCACCATGAAGAGTCCAGAACAAGAAACTCAACCAGAAGAAGGAGATGATGATCAAGCCTCGAAGAAGGGCGACATCAATGATGAGAAAAGAGACTTCAGAGAACAAGATGAGGTCGACAAATTTCTCAATCAAGAGGGAAAACCGACCGATGAGAACGATGATGAAGAGACAGCGGTCGATGAAATTAACATTGAAGAGTACGAGGCTGGAGAAGCTCGTGATGCAGTGATTGAGTACCCCAAGTGGATGCAGCGGATTGAGTTTGGATCAAAGGTCCTGCCGATCGAACCTTGCACAATTGGAGATGCTCAGCCAGAATTCATCAAGATCCTCCTGTTGCAGATTGGATTACATATCGTCAGGATCTACAGACTATTCCAACGGAACTTCTGTGGAGACATCGAGACGGCATGGAAACATTTTCAACAGAACCAGAAATTCAGGATGGACCTGGACTCAAGAACACCTTACCTGGGCGAGGATGAAAATGGTGAACTCATTGAACCAACTGCACAACAGATGAAAGAGCTCTACAAAGAGATCGGCCGACCAAATCAAATGGACGACATCGGAGAAGAGGGATTCGTCAATGCATACTATGGGGCAGTGGTACTCAAAAGACTTCTCATATATACCCTTGAATGTGGCTACACGTATGATGACTTGCAAAACATATTCTTTGATGAGGAAATGGAGAAGCTGTCGAAACGTGACACCACAATGGATGAGATGAGAAAGACCACAGCGGCCCGCGACGCCCTCGACCGACAAGACGTCATGGTCAGAAGAATCATTGCAGGCGCATATAGGGTAAATGCTGTTTATTTCTTCAGGAACGTTGACTTTCAAGACACAATCACACTGAACCCAGTAGACATTGTGTGTGCTCTTCGTCCACCACTTCGAAGAATATCACTTTTACACCTGATCCTTCAGAATGGCCGACAATTGCCGCGACCTCTACTCCAAAAGCTATATGATGCGATCGATGACTACAATCACATCAAGCAACGGGAAGATCAACGACCAAGGTGGGGCATCCACTTGTCTGAAGCTCACATACTTGCGATTGCTGATACCCCGACTCCTGCTGATCGTGAACGTGCCAATCCAGCCGCTGGCAAATCGAAAGCAGCCCCGAAAGCTGCACCAGCACTGGGAAGAGTGTCGAAAGCGAAAGCATCATCGTCAGCGACATGGAGAACAGTTGAAACCGCTCCTCCGCCAAAACAAGCTCCGGTGACCCCGCCAAAGAAGGGTGGAAAAGACCAAGGAAAAGGTGGAAAATCTTATTCACACCGTGGCGGAGACTGGAACCAACAGGGATACTATGGATGGGGACACAGATGATTAAGCGATCTGACCTCTGCATAGGTCCTGATTGAACCTGGCGATGCGAGGATGCAATCATTGCTCGAGATTTACCTCTACTTCATTTTGAATGATTTCTGAGAGGACTCTGAGCCGGCTAATTTAGAACCACACATTTTTTTTTTGAACATCATTGCATGAAACGCTGAGTTTCTACAGCGGTCTACGTCTCAACCGACGAAGGGACGGGAAGGTAAACTTCTAGTTCCATAGTCAAATTTGTGTTTTGATTTTTTTAATTCACATGCTTGAGTGGGACTCCATGCTGGCTACGCCACATCGGATGAACCTCAATGCTTGACACCGACTACGTCGTGTCAAAATGCACGTGAAAAGAACCTTTATCTTTTGGTAGAGATCGTAGCAAGCCGCCATGTAGATTTGAAGTTCTGAACGGACTTTAGCTCTCCATAATTCAATAAATGAACAGCTGCAGATGTAGTGGATCAATTCAAGGGACACTCCTTTGCGTGTGGCCGACAAAGTTAGCCATGCGTGGGGGGTGCGAATAGAGTGTAGGCTACGGACCATTGTACACTACCACATAATTCAGCCCTCAAAGATCCACAGGCAAGGGGTACATCAACTCGCCCCTTTGGCTCAAGACCACTGCAGGAACCGGAACAAAGAATTGCAATGCCGAAGCCGCTACCCGTGTGACGTCACCACTGAAACACCCATTTCAGAATCAAGTACCAGAACATATTCGGGGAGACAACCTACGATTCGCAACATATATATATATATGTACAACATCGAATTATTTTTTGTAAGCCACTTACGAATCCTGGCATGCACCCCCAAGTATATAGGATGATATTCAATGATATTCAAAGATATTCAAAGACTTGGGCTACGAATGCTCAAGCTTGGACAGGGTGGTTTTATATCCTTGATTTCACATCCCTACTGGTCTGTTATAAGTTCCCATGTTAATCGAATCCTCCATTAATTATATGTAGCACTTCATAGCCCCATGTAGCTATTAGGTGGTAAGTGATATAAACCAAACTACTACTAAGGTTACTATCAGCTACAACTGAGCTAACTTAAGTATAGTAGCACCACCCTATAGTTAAATTACTCCATCGTTATCACATCACTACTCATAATCTCTCAACCCAATTGATTCGTTGTATTGGTTATATTATGGGATATTTTAGATTTATGAGACAAATAATATATAATAATATTAATTGGATATGTTCGAAATTACTTATTTAAGTTATACTGTAGAGATTTGTGAGATTAGTCATGCGAGTGAACAAACTGAACCCCATTGAATCACCATTGCATCCCATTAAATCTAATTAGTTCCCGTCAAACCACCGTCAAATCCCAAGAAATCCTATCAAATGTCCCTTGAAATCCCAAGAAATTCCCATTGAAATCCTACTAAATGAGACATTTCACCATGAAATTCCTATTAAATAGGTATTTTACCTACTAAATCATCATGAAATCGCTGGTAAAATACCGACCCTTCGCTCATTTCGGCAGGAGGTGCGCCGCATCCGCCGCGCCGTGGAGCTCCGCCGCAACGCGGCGCGGCGCGACCTGTGGCATCTGCAGGTGGCGCTCTCCTGGTGTTCGGAGCAGAGCCGCAGCGATTTGGAGCCCTGGGTTTTTGATGGGCTTTTTGATGGGTTGATGGGTTGATGGGTTGATGGATTTTTGATGATTTGTTGGATTATTATGATTATTTTTGTGATATTGATGAGTTTTGGACCATTTTTGGATGGGTTTGATGAGTTTCAGATTTGTTTAATACATTTTAGGTTCGGTTTTTGCACATACTTGGGGAGGATGTTCTGTGAACACATGAGAAAATTTCGAAAAATGCGGCAAATCACACCTTTTTTCAAAATATGTGGGGGGGAAAAAACTGTCAAACAACAGTAGAGGAGCATGAATTTCACAAAACATAATTTTTGACAAATGCAGTCAGAATGGGTTAACTTTGTTTTGGCTACCGTCATTGGTGGATTGCAAGTTTGTGCTCCGACAGCTGAGGATATGTCTATAGAGCACCCCTGCGGCAAGACCGTGTCATACAGCCACTCTCAATGTGTGGGCGCCCAGGCATCAAGGGAACTATCAATATCTGATATTGCATGGGAATTAGTGACCATGAATTTTCATGTATAATGATGGAAATGGTGTGACGACACGAGGCAACATCTTAGTGATAATGGGGATTAGTAACTATCAGGAACTGATGTTTACCAACAGGCCTTCTGAGTCGGACAAGTGTACAGATGGGGGCGAAGCCAGCCAAAAATGAAATGAACATAACAAAAAGAGCGAAGTAATGCAGGAAATCCATGGAAATCCATTTTTGTTCGATATTCAAAGCGTGTTTCATAGAGTTGAGTAACCCTGAGGTTCAGCAAATGGTGAGGATTCGGGGTCACTTAGGTCTTCAATGTGGAGCTGAGTTGGACATAGATAGTACTGGAGCTGCAGGCTGGATGGGATGGCAGGTAAGGGTCCGCCCTATTGAACACTCCCTTAATGGTCCCAAATATGTGGGTGTAAATCCCCTACTAAACCCTGGTTCCTGAAAAATGTTATTTTTGTGGAAGGAATTATGATAATTGTGAGAATTATGAGTTTCCTGATTTTTCGAAGGCTTCAAAATAGACTTTTGGGGTTTGAAGAATATGACAGTGCAGAAGACAAGGTGCTCCATGAAATTCTGGAAAAATCTGGCCTCCAAGGTGACTAACCAAACATGTTGATTTGGTGCACATATATATATATGTATATGTATATATATATTCATAGATGGGACTTAAGTTAAAGATAATCCTTGTGATGAATTATGATTGCGATGAGTCACAATTCTCATATCCAATGTTTATACATGTTTGTATTATATAATAATTATATATATATGTACATAGTTATATAATATATGTTTATCATGCATATTGATGTATCGACTTGCTGGTGCTAAACGTCGGGAATGGGGGAATGATCTGATCCATAACTATGTTCATAATCCTCCCAGCAACCCCCATTCCTTATAAAAAAACACCAGAAAGTTGATAGCTATATTTCTCTGAGTAAATTACAGTGACCTCACTGTGACCGAACCTGACCGAATCATGGCTAGATTGCGGGGAATCATCTCCAAATCACCAAACATTTCAGGCTAATCCGCAAGATTGGTGGTCGAACATTTCAGGTTAGTGAACTATTTTTTTAACATATCCCAAATTGATAATGTCAAGTTAGGATTACCAACCCCCCACCCAGTAGATCGTTGGGAGGTGAGCTGGCTCTCGAGAACATCACCTGGCCGGAAGCCCCGCCGGAGGGAACCTACACGGTCTATGTGGAACTCTTCCGTGGACCAAAGGCGGTTTCGCCGGGATTTTGTGGACAAAAAACACTGGGAACATGTGGGAAATCTTCAATGATGGCAAAAGGTTGGGAAAAAGTCTGAAAAGGTCGGGAAAACGTCGGAAAATGTCGGGGAAAAGTCGGAAAATGTCGGGAAAACATCGGAACATGTTGGTAAATGGATGATATGGATGGTTTTTTTTTATGTTTTTTTCACGCAACTTCATGGGAAAATGATCGGTTAGTAAAGGATGGGATTGTCCAGCCATGTTACCAGAGGATATTTTGTTTGATCCAGGACCTCCAGGATGGATGTACTGATGTTACTGATCTAGTCCATGCATGTCTAGTCCATGTCATACAGTCACATCGTTGTGAGAAAGCGAAGGTTGAACAATATGAGTCGCTCTCTTCGAATCTTTGAGAGCCCAAAGCCATTGGGTTTTTCCAACCTGAAGCAGCTCAAAGATGGGGTAAATCTGTAAGGATGTCATTTTCATTCATGTTCATTTGGAAACCTCCTATTTTTTGTTGATTCCCTTCCGCAAGCTTCTCATCCAACTGCGTTTATGATTTTGTTGGGTGTCAGGTGTCATTCCATCTGCTGGTCCAATCGAATTCCGGTGACAACGTGCGACTCTTCAGTCACAGCAGCAGTTTCTTTGATGCCGGTCCACGGCAGGTGCCATAGGGCTGGGTGGAATTTTGTTTGGAGGTATGTTGTTGATTGGAAAGGCAACTTGATGACCGTTGTACTGAGTTGATCTAAGAGGATACTACTGAATACTCTCACTCGAAAAATAAAAATAAGTATTAACCTTGTTCCTCAAATACCAGTATTTATCCAATATTCCAATATTTATCCAAGTTATGTACCTTTAATATCCTTTAATTACCTTTATGTATCCATTGTTTATTTATCCAACGTTTCTCCAAGCCGGCTGTGTTACCTGGACCGATACCTGCAGGTCGCAGCGACCTTCCAAGTGACGAGCAGTGGAATTGTCTTCAATCCAGGCTGTCGGATGTCATGGGGATGTCAAGCTGTGTAAGAAAGAAGCTTCATCGGGACATATATCATATAGGGGATAGATATACTGTAGATAGAATATGATACAGTATTGATACAGTATAATACAATGTGTAACAGTGTGTGTATATATATATATGATGTCATGGGATGTCAATATAGGCTTACATATTATATATGACTGATAATGGGATGATATTAATGATGATGATAGGTAAAGTGATATTAATGACTTAAGTGGGATAATTGGGAAATCATGGTGAGATGATGACCTCACCTTGGTGTTCCTGCCGAAGCATTCCATTTCGTTGCCTTTTTTTTTGCCCATGCCAGTTGCCGACAGGAAGATAATTGAAGTACATTTAGTTGAACCGGACACATTTAAAGGAACATCGTAAAGCATGTAAAGGAAAAGGAAGGAAATTGGAAGCAGCTGCATTTGTGGCATTTATAGTTATTATAGTTGAATGTTGAAGATATTGGTCAAAGCAAGTTGATTACAACCTGTTGACCCCATGGTGGACCTGCCCGAGGCGCTTGTGGCCTGTTCCGGCGCGCAGCATACGTGTCCATGTTGACGAGACGACTCAACTCGGATGTGAAGGTGTGCCGTGTGTCATGGGTTGTGGCGGTTGTGGCGGTTGTGGCGGTTGTGGCGGTTGTGGCGGTTGTGGCGGTTGTGGCGGTTGTGGCGGTTGTGGCGGTTGTGGCTGTGGATATATGGGATAGAAAAAAACGTCTGGAAATGATTCTAATAACATCCCAGTTTTCTTCCATCCAGATGTTAACATAGAAAAACATCTTCAATTGTGGATAACATCCCAGCTGACAAATGTCGAAGCTCAGCTGGAAGTGCCATGGCTTCTCGAGACGCCGCCCATGCCATGGCTAGGCCAAAGCATCGGCAAGTTCGGCAAAGGCTTGGCTTAAAGTTGATCAATCCAAAACCATATGAAATTTAAGGGGAAAAGCATCTGACAATTTTAAGCCCCCCAACATTTCATGATATTTCATGGGTAATCAATTTTAATCATCAGTTTCCGTATTAAGTTTGATGGCCATGTATGGGGTTAATCAGCCATTTTGATGGTCACTGGGATAACCAATTTTGAATAGTTGTGGATAAGTTATATGTGATAATGATACTATCCATGATGGTTAAAATTGTACTTGAAATGGCCAATTGCGAGTTGATCCCCTGTTTTTTCAGACTAACCCATACGTATCCATATGTGTAGAATCTACTTGCGTAATCTTACATGCACAAACGTACAGCTCCATGCACGCTCGATGTTTATGAATGTGGATGGGCGTGCATATACGACTCTGGGAGCTTCTCCGAGAAAAAACATGAACTATATATCCATATAAATTTGTAAGATGATTGGAACTGGAACATGACAGGCCTGGGGGGTTCCTTTCATCATGGTCCCAGTCACCGGTTTCAATCGGTCACCATGACGTCAGCCCAGGCGGAACACTGGGACATGTCAACTGATAGCGGCTTGGCGAGGAAGGGTTTGTCGTCAGAAAAGGGGTCGAGATTATCTGGTGGGTAGTATGATATAACCTGACAAAGTCATATATATATATATATGTATACATATATGTATATATGTATATATATATGTATATATATATGTATATATATATATGTATATATATATATGTATATACAAATATATAATATATATATATATATGTATATATATATATACAATGGGATATAATGGGATATCTGGGTAAATTATAGTGACCTCACGTCGTGACCGAACCTGGAATCATCCCCAGCCATGGCCGCACTATTCAGATTACACAGATAATATCTACGTGTAACTTATCAGAGTGTTTGAATATTGATCCTCCCAGAATGTGTTGATAGTGTGTATTATATATATACATATGTCAGTTTTGGAGATGTTCCAAACAGTCGGAAAGTTTGACCTTGTCACATGCAGCTCCAGTTGTGAACATGTTTCAGGCCTGTCTTGTCTCAGCCCTCTCAAAATCTGTATAGTGAATAAATATATTGTAATACATATAATATATATATACATGTGTATATATATATATACATACATATAATATATGCATTATATATAGTTTCATCAAGTTTCATCAGAACAAATGAAAGGTACAGCCGTCCGGACCCATCCAGCCGTGGTTTCCGGCCTACGGCCCCTACGGCCGGATGGCCACCACCAGGTGATGGATGGTGCCGCATTGGTCGGAATCAGAAGTCCCTTCGTATCGCGCCTCCGAAGGCGGACAAAAAAGAGCAAAAAAGAAAAACCTCCGGATCAAGATTGAATTTAGAAGGAACCATAGTGGGGATTTTGGACGGGATATATATATATATATGTATGTATATATATATATATATGTATATGTATATATATACATATGTATATATGTATATATATATAATATATATATACATACACATATACAATTTGATATTTTAGTGTGTCTCATAATTGGGTATACCGTACTCTCGGGGGGGTACAGCATTTTCAGACAAGCCCGGATATGTAATGAATGCTCCCTCGCCAAAATTCAGCACTATTCCAGTGATTCACTGGACGCTTCGGCTGCGCCATGGTCGTGTTCTGGGTACCCTCCGGTGTCGTCAAACATGGCTTGCTGGAAAATCCACCATTTATAATTAGACATTTTTTTTCCAGCTACGAACGACAAATGTATAGAGGATGTCCCCAGAGTTTCCAAGTTTTTTTCCCCAGCCATAAACCTCCATTTAGGCCACGGGGATTTTCCAGCAACGTTTGATGATCGAGTTCTCAGCTGGCCAGTGGACGACCGAGATAGATGTGATAAATTTATCAGTTTGAGCCCTAGCAATTTTTATAAAGGTCTCTAAACCACAACCATGAAATCAGATGGACCCAAATCGTAGATGCAAAGCATCAATTTGATGGTGGTTTGAAACATGAATTCTATTTTTCCATATATTGGGAATTTCATAATCCCATTTGACTTTCATATTTTTCGGAGGGGTAGGTCAACCACCAACCAGATCATTTTGATCCTGCCACGCGATGAACGTTGGATGCTGGGCCCTTTTTGGCTGACGAATGCTGCTGGGACGAAACACGCCAGGCGTTGGGCTTTGAATTGTGCCTTCCAGCGGAAGTGCTCTGTGAAGATCTGCCGAAGGAGGTGAAAGATCCTGTCGATCTTGTCGGTGTCGGGGGGGTTCTTAAATGATGGTTAAAATGATGGTTAAAATGATGGTTAAATGATGGTTAAATGATGGTTAAATGATGGTTAAATGATGGTTAAATGATGGTTAAATGATGGTTAAAATGATGGTTAAATGATGGTTAAATGATGGTTAAATGATGGTTAAATGATGGTTAAATGATGGTTAAATGATGGTTAAAATGATGGTTAAATGATGGTTAAATGATGGTTAAATGATGGTTAAATGATGGTTAAAATGATGGTTAAATGATGGTTAAATGATGGTTAAAATGATGGTTAAAATGATGGTTAATGATGGTTAAATGATGGTTAAATGATGGTTAAATGATGGTTAAATGATGGTTAAATGATGGTTAAATGATGGTTAAATGATGGTTAAATGATGGTTAAATGATGGTTAAATGATGGTTAAATGATGGTTAAATGATGGTTAAATGATGGTTAAATGATGGTCAAATGATGGTCAAATGATGGTTAAATGATGGTTAAATGATGGTTAAATGATGGTTAATAGTGGTTACTAGCTATGAACAAAGGTTAATAGTGGGGATTTCTTAAGTCATAGGGGATCCCCAGGTCACCATGGGCTGAAACATGTTGAAAATCATGGTCATCCATGACGACTGGATGATTTGGGGGGTACCCCCATGACTTAGAACACATCCAGATCTTGTCAGATTGTTGCTGATCTTGAAATGGAATTGTTTGATCTATTTTTTATTTTTGATGAAGGTTTTTTGTTTACACATGCGGGGCGTTTTTTTGTTGGACATGGCGTTTGTTTAGTTAGTTTTAGTTGATGTGTGTTGTTTCAAATTTGGAAATTTGACAATTCAGTCATCAAATGCAGCTGTATAGCTTGGCACAAACAAGAATGGATTGTAAGCAACCATAGTGGGGAAGGTTGACATGACATGATGGTCGACTTGAAATATTAGGATTCATGGGGATTTTTAGGGTTTCGTGTTGTTATCAAAGCGAGTCGTTAGATATACCCAGACCATTAAAGGGCTCCGAAATAAAGCGACATCTGAGACATGTGTAACATTGTTCAACTATATATATATAGATATAGATATAGATATTGCACATAACCTGAGAATCCAGACACTCTATGGTGAAAAGCTGACTTAGAATGAATACCCGACTCTTTAGATAAACTCAGCTGTGGTTCGCGGCTAAGCTGGCTACAGCAAATGCCCGAAAGCCGAGAATTGTACCCATTCGGCCCTCCAATTCCAAGACAAGTTGTGATACCCTCTGGTAAACTAACATAACTGTAGAAAATCACCATTTTTATCCATTTTAGTAACAAATATATACATAAATAGACATATTTTGCATATCTTGTGGAACATCAGACCACAGTAGCCCCAAAAGCCATAGACATAGTGCGTGTCCAGGATGTCACGTTTCCCAGATGTCGATCTGTTCGAAAATTGGAAAGGTCGAAATCGCCATATTAAAAATGGTAGTTCTACGGTAGTTCATTGGTTTTATGGAAGATGTTTTTTTTTTTAATAATTGGAAAGGTAGTGAATCTCTATGGAGGATGTTTTTGCAACCTTTTTGGTTGCTAAAAATCCGCCAATCTTCCAGCCTTTGACCGGCCAGGTGGTGTTTCCCCGGAGACCATCAGGCGGCAGGGACCATAGGAATTCACTGGTGGCAGATATCCCAGACACTGAATCTTATCCTAGTGTTGTTCGATATATAGTAGAGATATAATGACATCAAAAAAAAAATATATATAATATGTTTATATAGTATATATATATTATATATACATATAATGTTTATACAGTGTATATATATATATACACACTGTTTGTATATGTATATACATACACACTGTTTGTATATGTATATACATACACTGTTTGTATATGTATATACATACACTGTTTGTACCTTATGTGTGAGAACAGATATGTATTGCGATGCCATGTACACGACCAATGGCTTGACTGATAGAAATAATTGGGCTACCCAATTCCAGGCACCCCCCGGACCCTCCAAATCCATGCAAAGTCCCATCCATTTGGAAAGTCCATGCCATGGTTGAAGATGTTGAAACAAACAAAACTGCTTTGTCTCAAACTTGTGCACTGCAAAATTTGATGATGGCCTTTTGGGGGCCTCGCCCATTGACAAACCCCCATATCTATTCACGTGAAATCCCTATGATATAATCACTGCTTGGTGGTTTCAAACATTTTTGAATTTCCATATATTGGGTTTTCAGAGGTGTAGGTATACCACCAACCAGATCATCATTTTGGTTGGTTGAAACATGTTCAAACCCAATTTGGTGATGTTGCCCAGCTGGTTCCAGCTGGTTCCAGCTGGTCCCAGGTCGAATAAACAGCCGGCAATGGTAGCTGCACCGAAGTGATCCTATTCTTGTTGAGCAAATCCCAAGTTTTGTTGGTTCAATCAATCCGTTCACGATCCCCACGGCAGTGTTGATGAATTTTTACAAATCCCCCCCATTTTCGCTAGCAAATTGACCTTCTTTGGTTTGGTTCCTTTTTACAGTTGGAAGCCAATCGTACATAGACCTCTCCGGGCAGTTGAAAAGCGACAGCCTGTGATCTCGTGCTTCCGGTCTGAGCCAAGACGGCACAGCATCACCCCGTCCCCGAAAAGGGGTTCTAGGCCAAAAACGCAGCAGCTGTGACCCGGGGATGATTCCAGGGACTGAGATGCTGAAGGATGGGATAGTATAATTATGTATAATTGACAACCAATGGCACCGGGCAAAAGGCAAGACATGACATTGGCATGACAACACTTCACAATGAGTGGCCCAAACATGAAAACCGTCGCGGCCTCACGTGTGGTTTTCTTGGGTGTCCTGCTACTGTACCATCGCAACGGCATCACAGTGGCCAGGTCGCACCAAAGCAAGAAGGTGTTCAGGTGCGAACAGTTGACTTTGGTTTCAGTCCTGTCGATAAACCCAGAGATTGGTCAAGATTTGAAGAGGACACCATCAATTTATCGGGGTATCCAATTCTTGTATTGCAGGGACTGAACTTCAGGAAACTTCAGGTGCCATTGGAATCCGTACACCCTCAGGAATGCCAAGCCGGTTTTGTTGAGTCCGTACCTTCGCTGAGTCTGAGTTCGGCTCGAGCTTTTTCTCCGCGCCCCATCGCCTCTGTCGCTTCCAATGGCTCTCCGTCGCTTCAACGCAGGTGGCAAGAAGCAGAAGGATCGCTCAAAATCTCTTGGCGCCGGTCGACGGTTGCTGATACCTCCACATACCTCCATCGAGGGATATCATCCCCCCGTGAAATCTAGTAGTAATTCCCGCACAGAAACAAGACACATACACCTTCAAATACTCCAACAATGGAAGAACCACTGTCCCGCATCAGCCCATCACACTTTACCACTTGTTCAAGTGGACATGTCGAAAAGCATAGGAGGCACCCCCAAAAAAAACATATGAAAACATGGGAGATCGTGTTGCATCAGACCCCAGTAGATTGTGGTTATCTCCAATCACTAACTATTCCATTCAAATCCCATTAAATCTGCATCAATCATGAAACATTCCCTAATTGGTTTCACCGGTAACGTGGTAAACCAATGGCTCTGTTAGGAATCGTCATTTTGCCCAGGAGCTGACAGACGAACAGAAACAGGAGATCAAAGAGGCCTTCGATCTCTTCGACACCGATGGCTCAGGTGCGGCAAGTGGCGCGCTGTGAAGGTATATAAAGGAATGGCTAAAGAATGATCATAGTAATGATAGTCGCAAATGATAATGATAATAGTAATGATTATAATTATAGTAGACAATGATAAGGTGAATGATAATGATGACAACGCTGATAGTGATGATGATGATGATGATGATGATGGTGGTGATGATGATGATGATGATGATGATAATCACAATAGTAAGGATAGCAAACATGGCAATGATGTGTCTTAAAGGTGCTGTTCTCACTCCCAATTTATCGCCTGCTATTTTAACTTTTTAATTTATTTAAAACAATTTTCTCAACAGTCCTCGCCCAACACAACTTGGGGCACCCCCTTTTTAAGCTGTGCACGGAAGCTGCTGGGAGCCCAATGTGCTCTTGTGAAAAAGATACATACTAATCCTAATGATATAAAATGGTAATGAAGACACACAGATAACAATAGTAATAACAATAATATAACAATAATAATACTGTAACAATATAACAATAATGCGAGTGATCACAAATAGCGAATAACAATAGTAATTACTGATAATAGTAATAATAATAATCATAATAATCAATCATTATCATAATCATACTATTATCATAGTAAACTAGTACAATAGACTATCCAATTATAACATAAATTATAATAACTAGAATTTGTATTATGATTATCATAATAGTGCTATCATCATCATGAACTAGTGAATGTGTTATGATTACTATTATACATTATTATTAACTTTATTCATAACTAGTTTCATAAACTATGATATTATCACCATGATATATAACTAACCATGTATTTTAGTGATATATTTTAGTGATATATCACCATGTATCAATCTGTATCACCAAGTATCGTCACGAATCATCAGTCGATGGTCGTCCACGAAAAACCAACCAGGTGAGATCGACTCCAAGGAACTGAAGGTGGCCATGCGTGCCCTGGGCTTCGAACCAAAGAAGGCGTGGTGCGCTGATGTGGCGCTCATGATTGGCTGGTTAATAGGATTGATATATGATTAGTATGATTTTTTGGCAGGTTTTGATTACCAAGCTGGTTTATCTCAAGTTGGTTTATAATGCATGAACTGAAGTTGGCTTGTCTGAAATTTAGAATCCAATTTGGTTGATTATGGCGTTTCCTCATGAAAATGACACAGAATTTATGACGCGGGGAAGAGAGCCCCATTCTCAGATGAGCACAGGAAGAGATTCAAAAGATGATCAGCGATGTGGACGACGATGGAAGTGGCACCATTGGCTACGAAGAGTTGCTCGGTTTTCATCGTTTTCCCACCCCCTTGGATCCCCTGAGAAGATTGATACCCAACTCACAAATCATACATGACTCAGATTCTTTGGGATTTTTGGGGATGGGTTGAACGCATCAATCAGCATTGAATCTGAGTAGATACAGTAATACAATCAGATTCAACAGCCATAGATCTATCAGATAACACGTGTAATTCAATCTGATTCGAATATTTCGTGTGTGTAAGTGGTATCAATCATCAATCAACATATGCATCTTGATCAGCCAGGTTCCTGAAGATGATGACCCACAAAATCCTGAACCGCGACCCGAAAGATGAGATTTTGAAGGCTTTCCGGCTCTTTGATGATGATGAGACTGGCAAGATCTCCTTCAAGAACCTCAAGCGTGTTGCAAAGGCCGGTGCCACGGTGCCACGCGATTTCCCGTTGTCCCATGTCCCGTTGTTTCGCCAGGAAAGGTGTGGATATGTTAAGAATCTAGCGATTCGAAAGATTCTAAAGTCATCTAAAGTCATCTGTGGCTTCAAATATATTCAAATATGACATTGGAATACTGAGTTGCAAAGGATGAGGTCCAGACGGCACATCTTTGGTCGGCCAAACCCCAGACTAGGAGCTTGGCGAGCGCATGACTGACGAGGTCGGCATGGGTCGGCAAAGCCGATGTGCACAGGGGGATCATACATGATCATATGCCAGGATACTGGTTGGTGGTTTGGAACATGAATTTCATTTTTCCATATATTGGGAAGAATCATCCCAACTGACTAATATTTTTCAGTGATTGAAATCGATTGAAATGTTCTGCGGAACTTGAGTTGGCATCTTTGAGGATGAAATCATGCACCGTTTGCGAGTTTCCAGAGCCAAAATTATCCAGAGACTGCCCTGCCCATATTTTCAATGGGAAACCCAAGTGGTGAAACTGGGTACGCTGACGTCAGAAACCTCCACATCCCCATGATGCTCCATTTTCTGGGTAAATCCCCAATGGAATCTTCATTTCACCTTGTATTCATCATGTTCCAGTTTAAACAGTATAAAACAGTGACAGTCCCCCATGCTTGTCGACGAAATCCACAAGAATCCGCCATTTTTGTGGATTATGTACAATATATCTAGTGAAATCTATTATACACAGCATTTGACTATCTCTATGACTATCTATATGTAGAATAATGGAAACAATATATATATATACACATATACACAATTATACATATATATATATATACATGGTGAAATCCAGCAAAAACCTGCCATGAACTAACCGGCGGGAAACCAGGAGCTCCAAGAGATGATCGATGAGGCGGACCGCGACGGAGATGGTGAGGTGCTTTGCGCGACGGTCTGGTGATGTTTTTTGTTTAAAGCAACCCCCAGTTGTGGATAGATAGTCATCATTATAGATATATATATAGATATATGGCTATGGATCAATACCTATACATACCATTTTTAGGGGGATGAACATCCATAAATCCCAGCTATTTTGATGTGAACAGAAGGGGTACATGGTTTTGACACACTGCCATATGGGTGTATAATATATATATGTATGTATATGTATGTAATCATGGTTATGTAGAAAACCACTTGTATAGATATAGATAGTCATCATTACACTGTCTATAAACCAGTTGTAAACCATTTGTTCATCAGCATTTTGTTCTATAGTGAATGTCTAGGCAAATGATGATAGATAGGGATAGATAGATCTAACCTCCCTATGCTATGATAGATAGAAAGCCCTGTGTTAATCACCATATCTATCATCATGACAATATGGATGATTTTGGATGATGTGTTCCCGCCATCTTTTTGGGCTTGGAGATCGGGATGAACATTAAGATTTAACAGCTATTTTGAGCAGGATATGTGGCCATATATACAGTGTGTATGTATATATTATATACATATATATATAGATAGATAGATAGATAATATGTGGTTGTACAATGATTCCATATACCCCAACCTTGAAAAGAACGCTGTTTTTGTTGGTGATGAATTAGAAGTCAGTGTTTTTGGATGGAAAATGATCGGCCCCGTGGCGGTGACTCTTCAGAGCTTACAAGGCTGAATCAACCCATAGTTGATATAAAAAATCAATCAACTATAGTAACTATATTTGAAACCACCAACTATGATGAAAACTTTCTGGGTTTCAAATATCGTTGATCTTCCCCTTGTTTCAGGGGATGATCTCAGTTAACTCCACCCTTCTGTGCGTGGTTACCGTAGGTGAACGAAGAGGAGTTCCTGCGTATCATGAAGAAGACAAACCTTTTCTGAAAGCACTTAGAAACTGCAGAAACGCGAAGGTTCACAACTGACACAAAAGTAGCTCTGCCAGGCTGGAGTTCGATGAACTTATCATCAATTACATCAGAAATTATTGAAAAACGACCAGAAAATGGGGTTCTCCAAAAATAAATGGTGTATCCCGAAAATCCTGAGCGTTCTCCCAACTTTCAATTATGTACCCCACTAGACCTGCGTTTTCTTGGAGACCCAAGCACATGGACCTGGGTAGATGTGCAGTGCTGTTGTTTCGCGTGGCTGGTAGATGTCCTCGGGTGCGGATCAGTCGATTGACTACCTTGGTTACCGTTCTTTGATGGGAATCTACTAAAAATGTCACGCGAAATGCTGGTGAAATCTCGAAATTCAGATTCTCTGACATCTTCAACTTCCAGGTCGTTGTTTTTTTTTACAGTAGGCACCTGCGCTGCTGCCTCTCATCCGCAACCAATGGAATTGCTCGTGCACGACAGTTGATGCTTACAAGCTCTGACAGCTGGCAAATCATGTGAGATCCAATCGAAACAAACAGAATTACAGTGAATGGTCACATGTCGTCGCTCTACCGTGGAAATAAATATGTTGACATTGTATAGTCACATACTCTTATCACTTGACCTTCAATACCAACTAAGGCATTTGTGAATTCTGGTTTCAGCATGAGAGTTGTTGGATACATCATATATATATAATATACATATACATGTATATATATATACATATCATATACATGTTGCATGTGGATTATGTATACAGCAGCATAGTAATCATAGCAACCATAGCAATCATAGCAATTCATAGCAATCATAGCAATTGGTTATTGAGAGAAACAATTCTGGAAAGTCCATGTATCGGTGTTACTGAACTCGGTGCCCTGCATCTAAGCTTTGCGTTTGCATCTCTATTGAAAATAACATCATCATTGTAGTCAGGACCCCTTACCCCCTGGTAAACTAACATAGCTATGGAAAATCACCATTTTTAATGGGAAAATCAACTATAAATGGCCATGTTCAATAGCTATGTTAAATTACCAGAGGGTACCCTGGCCCTTACCATCAGATTCAGCATCCTTTCCTTACCAAGTTGGGTGAATTCTTGTGGTGCCACGCCGTCGCGAGCTGCCAAATGTACATCTGGAGACGTGACGTGACGAGACGTGTCCTCTGGTCTCTCCATTTCCCGACTGTCCCTGGCCTGGAAAAGTTTGTGCCCTGAGGATGGTTGAGGCAGATGCAAAAAAACACCATTTTTCAGTGAAGTGACAGGATCGTCTCCAAGATATCACTTTGAGGAAGGGATATGAGGGCTGAAACAGCGCAAAGTTCTAGCATTGGTAAATTTCACACTCAAATAAGGATGAACATCACCATGGATATTGTTATTCTATCACTGACACATCATAACTTCATAACACTCCGAAACTGGTTGGAAATCATTCTGGAAGGGGCCCAACTGCTAAGCAGCTGCAACGGTCAAGCAGGTGTTTGTACACACAGAACTTAGGTACTCAATTGTTCTCTCATCCATGTCCCATTGTTTATGAAAAACTCAGGAAATGATCTTGATATGTTTGTTTCACTTGGTTAAAAAGAAAGGTCGCAACATGTTTTACATGAATAGCACCCAAATAGCACCCAAAAAAAGATGCAGCTATTTTTCGTAAAATCACAAAATATCAGGCGTAAAGAATCCAATGGGACAATGATTATCATACGTTGTACGTATATTATCACGGGATATTAATATTGATGAATTATCAATATGTGATATTAATCATATAATTATCCGATTATGAAAATATCTGATTATAAATTATATCCCATTAAAATCCATTAAATATTTATAATCATAATGGGATAATTTAATAGTTATTATTATCCCAAAGATTTTTTCCATGTCATTCCTTCGCCCTTCAGGCCGAGTCACCGGAGGACTTGCTGGGCGTCTCGTAGGGCACTCGGCGGCCCCGCGAACGACGAGAAATCCGCGAAGTTTTCACGAAGGATGTCATGTTGAAGTTTTATACCCAGCGGGTATATATGTTTGTATACATATACAATAGACAGTGTATATACATATATATATGTATCATATTATATATATACATATATATATATATATATGATTATATATATACACATACGCTATATATACATACGCTATATATACATACACATGTGTATATCATGGTGTAGAAACGCTTGGGTTTTATACCGGATGTTTAATGGTTTTATCATGAAATTACTGTATAATGATGTATATATGATAGACATGATATTTCATCGATTTATTGTACTAAAAACTTGGGCATGCCCCAGGGCACGAGCTTCGCCTCCATCAGGCGTTGGGGTGGTTTCGATGGTGATGGCACGCCATGAAAAATAGGAACTTTATCCCATGGATTTAATGAAATTGTACTGGTGAAACACGCGATTCCTAGTAGATGATAATGCCTAATATGTCAAGGGTCGCACACGACCATGTGCGACCCCCGAACTAATCACGAAGCAACAGAGGTTTAGCACTGCTCAAATTGCCAAAAAATGTTCAGAGTCATTCTCTTTCAATAACTCTTCAGGATTTTTTGTCGCCAGTGAGCCTCGAGAAATTACTTGATGCCCAGAACTTGACCATGCTCCTGGGATATCCTGAGGTCCTGGGGTGTTGCGATTTCGCCCCAGTTCCGTAGTTTCACAAAATCATTGAAGATACATCGATATATACGTGTCTAGCATAACCAGACATGTGTCTGTAAATTTTGCTTGATGTTGGGTATGGATGTGTGTTGCAGTGTTCAAAGAACTGAGAGAAAGGGGATCAAGACCTTATTTGCATCCAAGTACAGTAGCGTAAAGAAAAGCCAAACAGAAACAAAGGATAACAAAGAGTTGCCATGTTCAAACAACACTGCAAAATGTGGGAATGTGGGCCTCCACAACGTGCCACCCTCCTCCCAGCATCAGGTTTCTCAAAGTTTGCATGATTTCTAGACAGCCAGAAACTGCCTGCACATGTGCCATGGTCAAGACTTGGGCAAATCGCCAATATCAGAGGCTGGTCATCAGTCCATGAATAAGGATTTTTATGTATCATCAATCAACAACTCTCATCCTGTTATGAGTGACTTAAGAGCCACAAAAGCCAGTGTTCCTTGCACCACAGCAAATTACATCCCCCTTTAAAATATCCGTTTGAAATTGACACCTGGGTGTTGTCCCATGGCAGGGCACATAAACTTCCCATGGCAGTTCCTGGGATGATATTTTTTGGTGCTGCAGAGTGATAGAGATGATTGGTACTTTATAAAGGGTCAAACAACAAAATAGTGGCATACTTTCTTACTGTAGACAATGTTTGCTTTGCAGTCTGCAGTTCCAAGGCTCTGCATTAGATTGTTTGATGAGGTGAGATGAAATGAATTGAAAATGAGATGAGGTGAGATGAAATGAGATGAGCAAAGATTAGGTGAGATAGATTCAGATAGATTCCATTTCTTCGACGGTGTTTCTTGTGATCCATGTTGGCTCGTCCTATCGATGCATAAGGCCCAGTAGCGCAGGAGACCTGAGGTAAGCCCCATGAGACTTAAAGCTCCTGCAGACCGAAAAAATGTTATTTGATTTTCAGTAGGAGCTGTGAAGGCATTGCCTGTCAGTCTCATCTGCAGCCGACGATTCAAAGTCGCAGCGTGACGTTGGGAATCATTGTTTTCAAGGAACGTACAAAACACGACCGAGCGTACGAAAAGTGAAAACGTCTTTTTAGCCATGTTGAACCGGTCTAACCGTTGATCACTTCAACGTAAATGCCAAGAAGAAACACATATTCATCTAAATGATGCATAGTAACTCACTCGAACCCATATTAAAAAAATAAGTTGATTAGATCTGGATCCGGTGAGTTTAGATAAGGGTCTTTGGCAATCATTGTTACATTGTTGCTGCATGTTGCTGCCCAGAAAATCCGTGAGGTTGGGTGAGATGTTCGGTGACGTGAAGTGAAATGAGGTAAGGTGAGCTGCGCTGAAGTGAGATGATGAGGTGAGATGAAGCGAGATCAGATTACAGTAAATGAGCTGAGATGAATTCAGATTAGGCGATATAAAGTAAAATGAGGCGAGATGGGCTGAGATGAGGAGTGATCAACTAAGATGAGGTGAATTGAACTGAGATGAGTTGGGATGAGTTGAGACGAAGTGAGATGAGGTGATATGACATATGAGTCATATGAGCTCAAATGAGGTGTTAGAAGAGGCGAAGGTAGATGAGGTGAGATGAAATGAGATGAAGATGGATGATATAGATGAGGTGACATGGACTGATACGAACTGAAATGAGCTGACGTAAAGTAAGATGAAGCATGATGAAGCACGCTGAGGTGATATGAAGTGAAGTGAGGTGGGGCGAGCTGAGATGAACCGAGATGTTGTTTGTTGGAGATGAAGTGAGATGAGATGAGATGAATGATTTTCCCTCTTGTAAGCTCTGGCTGTCACAAACGGAGAAAAGCCGTTGACAGTTAAAGGGCGGCGCTAACAAGGAACACATACCTGACCCCATTGAATTTAACCTTATTATCTCACCTGGCTTACAGTGGCTTACAGCTGTGCAGTAATTTCCATATAGCCAGCAGAAGTTGCTTTCAGATATGGGCAATCATCTTTACTACGTAGACATGAGTACCTAGACTTTCTTGTCAATACATCATCGATGAAACATACTACATAGTTGCAGTCTGGGTGAGCTGGTCAGTGGTGACCTCACAATTTTTTTCCGCGTACGTCAACAACCTGGCTTCAACAGCATCAAGACTTTGGGGCCGCAATCTGTGGAGGAGCTAGGTGTGGCTAAGTTCTACTTGGTGCCTGGCCATTCACTGACAAAGCTCAGCCGCTGCCCTCCATACTGAAGCCATCAAGGCGCTGAGGCGCCCACCCGCTGCCAAAACGCAACTTCCTCGTTCGACCATGGGGCACGCAACGGCCTGAAGCGACGCCAGCCGAGAGGCCTCAGAAGCCGACCAGCTGCGGCACGAAGCCGGCCCTGGGGCCTAGGATGTTCTTGCCGAACGGGTCAGCATTGTTGCGCAAGGACGGACAGTGTAACCCAGACGGCTCTACTGCTGCAGTTGCCTGTGAGGTTCCAGAACACGCTTGAATTGCATGTTTCGACGCGCAATTAAATTTTCGCTCCACTTCCACGGTTTGTTTTGGTGAAGCGCTGTCAGCTGTGCCATTGGGTTGCGGAATTGAGGACGAAAGGGGGCCTCAGCGGCATCTTGTTGTCCATGCGTTGGATGAGCACCCAAGGCGTGAAGAAGCGCCTAAAGAGTTCCTTCCGCTGGTTGCAATGTCGCGTCCGGAACTTGGTTTGGGTCTATAAGATGGCATGGCAAAAGTCCAGTAGAGGGGAGCCATCTTGCTTCGGTGGCGAGGTTGCAGATGTTTTATTGTGACAGCTGCGGGCTATGTGATCAACCTAACAGCAAAGTATTTTGCCGCAGGTTAGATTTTGATCATCAGTTTTTTCATGGGTTGACTGACAATGTTGGAATAGCCTACAAGGAGACTATTGAGTTCATTTGGTTTTGACACATCCAAGACAATGAACACAAAAACCAACAAAATGAAACTGCGCACATTGCACCAATGGACCCGGTCGTTGCACCATTTTTTCGGTGGCCAGTAATTTTGAGGAGTCTTACCCCTAAATATACTCCCCATGCGGCCCCTAAAATGAATACAACCAATAGTCAACCAGAGTTTCTGGCGGAGAATATTTAATGGAAGGGGAAAGGGTCTAATTTGGAACCATGTTTCATCAAATATGGGACCAACCATTCTGTCCAAAGGTCGGTGGCAAGAGCTGGATAATGAGGCCCTCGACACACATGAGCGTTTGTAGCAAATGCTGCACATGCCATGCCTAAGATTTCATGGTAACAGTAACATCAAAAATCCAAAATTGTTTCTTGAAAAAATTGCCACTTCGCAGAATGTTTTGTTCCAGTACCACCCAGTTCCCCCGTGAAAGCGTTGTCTTGATTATTATGAACACATGTCATTTACACAGACATCAGCACAAACTTGGCCCCGCGCCATCGCCCGTGGGAGGCCACCTTGCTGCGTGTGGACAGCGGTGACCAGTTGGTCGACCAATTTGCGTCGCCGCGAGATTCACGTGGAGAGGTTGCCTCCAAAGCGTTGTTAGCTGTGGAATCCAAGGTGATTTTGGGGCTGGAACGGGATGGGATTGCGTGGCCGTTCATTTTTTCTTGGGTAAAACGAACACAAAAAATATCTGTATGTTTGCTGCGTTTATATGTTGGTTGATTATTTTTTTGTTTCATGAGACGAAACATCATGGATCCATGTCGCAGGAGCACCATGAGAAGCGATGTTCACAGGCAGGAATGGTAAGAAATGGTGGGTCACCCAGGAAGGGTAGGAACATGTAGCAAAAAGATGCAAAAAGTTAGTTAGAGGAATATTTGTAAACTATAATAAATAGTCTTTTTAACATGTGTATGATATTGGACTTAGTGGTCCAACACTGGTGGTTTGTCCAAAGCCATCCATTACTGTGGCCAAAAGCGGGCTTAGCGGGTGTTACGGTTTGATCCTGGGGAAAGATGACATAGTTTGGCGCTCTGATTTGTGTAAGCAGGGTGAAATTCAACGCAATTTCATGCAGTTTATCTACGTTTAGTTGGATTGTTTGGACCCCCTTGGCATGGCGTCCTTGTTTAGGCAGTTCTGTTTTCAAGGTGATTTGGCATATAAGGTGTAGCTCAGTGTTGATCATTTGTAGCCAATCTCCCGCATGGCGTAGCTATATTTGGCTAGATTTGGCTGCATTTTCCATGTGACCATCTTTGTGAATTGATCGCTGACGTCGATTGACGTCGCTTGCAGACACACCCCCCAAGTTGCCGTTTATCATCTCCACGTATATACACTTTCTTCCTCGATTTCTTCGTGAAAAATCATGTCCAATCCATCGGTCTTGTTTGTTTCAAGCCGTTTGTTGGTCGATGCTCCCACATTCTTGGCGGCGTAGCTCTGATGGTTTTGGGATTCCCATGGACTCCCCCAACTCTTGGTGAGTGATTGTCTCTATCTGGATAAATTATATTAGAGGGACCTCACTGGGCAAATCACCATGATGATTGTCAAAAAGTCGGAATCATATTTTAAAAAGGCTCACAGTATCTCTATTTGGGAGTTGATCTATTTGTGTCCTTGGAGGGATTGAAATATGAGATTGCTTAAAGTGTTTTTTCGGCTGAAGAAATGGCAAAACAAATCATTTCTGGCTTTGCGAGATGGAATTTTCAGACAGATTTTCCGCGAAAATTCCGCGACGGTAGTGGCGAAAGTAAAGCTGTCTCGGAAACTCTAGCAAGAAAGCGGGTTACTGTACCATTCCATGCAGTCCGACTACTTGGTCACCGTTTCCATTGGTGCCATTTCCATGCAATCTTAAGATCCCCATATGGCCCCCATTAATCTCCATGTTTGGTCAGTTCACCCCCATCATTTATGACTTTGAATTAGCATTTTGGCTCATTAAAATCAGTTAAAATATGTTAAAATCAACACGTTGATCATTTTTTGGTTGGTTAGGCCTCATCAAGATACAGTTTTGATGGCGAAATCCTGCGCCCGTTGAGGGATGTGGTTTCTCACTAGGCTTTCGCCAGGCACGGCGCCGACGCCGCACCTGGCACTCTCGTCGTCGGAGTCGGCGCTGCCGCTCCTTGTCGCTGGCCAAGGCGCCACTGAAGGCGCGAAGCCCATCGAATCTGGCTTTTAAAGATGGTGCTAGGTAGTAAACATATGACAAAAACATGGCAAGATGTAGTGTCGTTGTCAGTTATTAGTTTTAGTACGTGATTGTGATCAATGGTAATAAACACTTATCGTGAGAATTGAGAATTGATAATGAATTAGCTATCATAGTTGATAGTTAACCCCCATTTGATTGTATGAATAGTTAATCAATCAAATGGGTGGTCCTTAGTCCTGAGCTTGGAAACTGAGAAAAACATTATTGAAAACTGCCATGTGCGGGTTGGAAGATATGGCCATTTGAACAGGGAAAGCGATGGTTTTAATTTATCTAATTTCAAGAAGAATGAAAAGCATGTTTTCTGATGATTCAGCATGGGTAGGTACATATGACACTTTCTATGGGTACGGTACGGTGGGTACGGTGGGTACGGTACGGTGGGTACGGTGGGTACGGTACGGTGGGTACGCTGGGTACAGTACGGGAGGTACGGTGGGTACGGTACGATGGTACGGTGGGTACGGTACGGTGGGTACGGGTGCGTACCTGTGGGTACGGTGGGTGCGTACCTGCACCCACCGCACCGTACCCACGGTACCCACCGTACCGTACCACCCACCGTACCGTACCCACTGTACCCACTGTACCCACTGTACCCACTGTACCGTACCCACCGTACCCACCGTACCCACCGTACCCACCGTACCCACCGTACCCACCGTACCCACCGTACCGTACCCACTGTACCCACCGTACCGTACCACCGTACCCAACGTACCGCACCCTTCACCGTACCATCATTTTTGAGGACCGTACCCCCCCACAGAGCATTACCCTTGAAATTCGATAAGTTTTAATATGTTTTAAACATAGTCTAACATAGTATACTATATGAGGATCGGTCAACCAAAATATGGGTACAAGGGAAACAAACCAAGAAGACATATACAATACTCGTTCTGCATCTGCATAAGCTGCAAAGGGAACGGTTTGATTGATCAAGGCTAAAGCTGGAAACTGGAAAAAAACAAACCTAGGCATGCGGGAAGGGACCTAGAACAAATGGGGCCAATCGCCATGTGAACCGCAACAAGTCGCGATGTTTCGCCATATCATCAGCGTCCCATCTCCGGGTCCCATCTGCCGGATGCGTCGTTGGTAATCTTCCATCCTTTCGTGCTTTATTTTTTCTCTTTCACTCATGTGGTGCCACTAGAGTTGGTCATGTTCCCACGGATTTGTTGATATAGATGCTTATGCCCTGACCTTTGAGTCAGATTGAGAGTTCATGACTGTCTCTGTAGACTACTCGTAATTATCAGGTTCTTTCTGGCAATACCCCAGTTTGGTAAGTCAAATATCAGCAAGTTCTATCACTGCTTCCCATCTAACTTGCTGTGGCTGCTCTAGGATACCCTTCGGCAAGCCCGGCAATGGGAAATCATTTTGAAAAGGAACATCGGCCATTAATCGGCCATTAATCGTCCATAAATCATCAATGAATCATTCATTTGGATGGACTATAATGACCTCAATGTGACGTCACTAGAATGATGGTTGGCAAGGGGCATCATCCCCAAATGGCCTTATTTCAGCTAGTTTCAGGGCTGTGAATTCTTTAAATTCAGCCCGAATCCATGAATCATCCACAAATCATCAACAAATCATCCATGAATCATCCATAAACCATCCACATCAGCCAGGTACGACTTAGCGCTCCCCCGATGCCAGTGACAGTCGTCGAGCCGGCGTCGGCAGCGCCGCCAGCGCAGGAAATGCCTCAACTCCCATCACAGGTGGCCGAGGCGGGCATCTGGTGACTCTTCCATGGTTTTCCCTGGGCTTTCCATCATTTTCACTCATTTTCCATCTGGAGGTGTCGGAGGTGTCCTAAGCCATGGGGGTTACCCCCAATTCATCCAAGTTTTGATTATTTTTGGGGATGGAAATCCATGCTGACTTGGGGATCAACCATTTTGAGAAACTCCCTATCTGGGTTTGCTTCAACATGTTAGGAATGAAATTCACAAATTTTCATGGTTGGCCCTTGTCCTGACATGTTGGCAAGTTGGGAGAAACCTGAAAACCTGATATAAGATATGGCAATTTCGACAGGTCCATCTTTTTTTTGAACGGGGAAAATGAGCTCCGTAGCCATTTTGGCTCAAGCGTTAGCTTGCGCGTCAGCTGCACTATGACTGGGCCTTTGCGCGCTGTTCCTCGTTGCCACGCACATCTTGGCCCGAGCCTTTGACGGCCAAATGGTAGCTGGTTGGACGGCAGGGAACACCCGCCACCTCAACGAGGCTGCGGCGGCGGGGCGCATGCGGGCGGAGTGGGAGAAGTTGCAACAGCAGCCCGCTGTCGCACATGCAGTCGCTCCGGCCGCACCCGGGGTCGCTCCTGCAGACGACGGACAGGGAGCCGGCCGACAGGGAGCCCCCACACATCCAGATCCGCCCCAAAACGCTGCCGCAGACCGACAGCACCACCACCCGGACGTCCAGATCCCCTCAACGCCTGCTGCCGCGCCATTGTCCACGTGCTCTTGAAGGAAGGCATAGGAATTGAGAAGTGCATGGTGACCACCATCCAGTCCTACGCCGCCACTCAGAAGACCGTGGGTGGCGTCTCTGCCAAGGACTGGCGTGAAGGACGGTCGGTGTGTTGTAACATTATGCGGAGCTCCACCAGAGCTGCAAAGGCTGTGGGCGAGGTGTTGCCGACCACCAAGGGCAAGTTGACTGATATGGCCTTCAGCGTGCCCACCTGATGAGATCGATGAAGAAGGCCACTCAGATGTACATGAAGGGCTTCTTGTCCTTCACCGATGAGGAGTTGGTGTCCAGCGACTTCATCCACAACGTGAACTCCTCCATCTATGACTCCAAGGCCACCCTGCAGATCCAACCTGAAGGGCGAGAAGCGCTTCTTCAAGATCCTGTTTTGCTATTCCGACCGTGTGCTGGACCTTCCTCCCGCAGCACCCGGAGTCGCTCCGACGGACAGGGGCCCTTGCGGTGTGTTTGGCATGATTTGGAGGATGCCCGCCTGGATATGGACTTTGCTTTAGCACATCCAGTCCCGCCATGTAGCCCACGGAATTATTCATGTCCTGCTTCACCAACAGATCGAGTCTGGACAGGTAGGAGTAGTCATCTCCACTTCTGACAATGCTGTTAGACAGGGAGCCCCTTTTTCTGCAGCAGCTGTTTGCAAGGATCCTGCTGACAGCACGCATGTTGTGGATGTCATTGGCAAAGCCGCTGACTGCAGTGCACCGGGGGGTCGATGGCGAGTTTGGTTTGAGCGTTTTGAGGTTGAACTTGGGGCACGGGCCTTCAATCATGGGGATAGTATCCAGGCGCATATCTACCGGACTTTCATGCCTTCATGGGATCCAGAGGATGAAGTTGAAGATAGGATTGAGCTTATGCAAAGAGAGGCCGCGGTCTCCAGCCCTGCACAGCCGATTGCACCCGCTGGAGCCACCACTAGTTCTGAACACCCTAGTGTGGGTCAGGCTGATTCCATGCCCTTTTGCTTCAACGTAGATGCTGCTGAGTTTATTCCAGGAAGGCCACCTACGTCGGCCTTACCTGAACGCCTGCAGGACATTTACACCCTCTGGAACTGCCATGCCTTTGCTTGGGAGGAGGGTGCGTAAATCTAGTGTCCAAACATGGTACCCCAGTCCTGGGACCCATAGCTTCAAATGTGGATATTCCAGAAAGGTACATCTGTACGATTTTTTTTTCAATGGGAACATTTGATGAGGCAGGCTTGGAGTGATGAACTCATCCCAGATCGCCCACTATTTTTCTTCGTAGTCCAGCCAACACCAGTTGCGCTTGAACATGACATTGCCGCTCACGTTTTGCTGGCTCAGGAACCAGTGGACGATCAAGTCACTAGCCTTGTCACGATTTTTGACAATTCCTTGCACCAAGGACATCCCTTTCGGATTGCGAGTGTCACGCATGAACAGATCTCCTAGGCTGAAGTTATTGAACGCATTGGCTACACTGAGGGACTTTTGAAACATGAAGGACAAATCCGATGCACGCTCCAACATGCTTCTTTTAGCCTGCCAATAATTGAACGTTACGTGCCTGGGCGTGATGGAGACAACCTTGTCGTGCACATTCAGAGAAGCCAGTTCGATGAAACATGGACACCTCCATGTCTACCAGCGGCCCCAGGGATGGAAGGAGTCCAATTTCTGCAGACAGCTGCGAGGATCAAGCAAAGTGTAGTTGATATGGATTCCGACAAAACTGTGGTTACTTTAGCGATGGATAAAGTGCAGAAGGCCCTGACATGGTTCGATACACTTCACTTTGCCCACTGTTGATTTGGAGGCACAGTTGCGAGACCAGGTGACGTGGATGCCAGATTCACTTGCCTGGTTTCGATCTGATTGGTTTGCCTGCGATGTCTCAACTGAAGCCATTCGCATTTACTATGATGGATCATTCTTGCCCAAGATGCAGAAAATTGGGTTTGCTGCCGCAGCATGTGTCCAAGCTGCGCATGAATGGCTTTTCGCAGGTGCAGTCCCAGGGATGAAAGACAGTGATACGGCGCAAGGGTCGTACGAGGCAGAAATCTTGGCATCCACAGTTGCAGCCAAATTTTCGTATATATGACATTTGCAAGATTGAGGTTGAAGCTTTCCATTGCAGACCGCGACGTGAACTTGTTTTTGACTCCCTGACGATTGGACGTCAGTCAGAAGGGAGATGGAAAGCTGCAAAGGCCATTGAAGCTTGTCATCTCATCAGGAGTATCATGCGCCTTTGTGAGCAACGGTTTGGTGTTCATATTGACCATCTTTTTTGCCCAAGTCACAAGGGAGAACCAGGCAACGAACTTGTTGACAAGTTGGCATATGGGGCAGCTTCTGGTAAGCCCTTACAAGATTGGATATCATTTCTGCAAGAAATGCAAAATGTGCGTTTCATTCGTGCAATGGAGTGGGCGTGGATGCTGTTTGCTAACTTGCCAGGGGTCGACGTTGAGAATGATAAGTCCGTATTTCCAGCTAAGCCATTAACCACTCCAACAGCTAAGGTCATGCCACCATTAGCTGTCATGCAGAGTGAAGAGGTCCATGTCCACGTTTCCATTAAGATTGCCACTTGTAATGTGCTGACCTTGCAGATGGGTGGTAGGTCCCAGACAGGAAGGGGCTGCAGGCCCATCACGCCAAGAATGGACTCTCAGCATGCTTGCGGAACATGAGATCTCCATTTTTGCATTGCAAGAGACCAGAGCCAAAACAGTCCGGCGTCATCACGACTCACGGTACCATCTGATCCGCAGTGCTGCCGTTTGTCCAAAATACATCCGCATGGATGGCGGGATGATGTCCCTGTATTGTTTGGAGACCAAAACTATTTGGTTCTTGTGGCCCAACCCAGACTTCTCATTTTGCAGGTCAGATCCCAGGCATTGAAATGTGTGATTGTTGCTTCTCATGCACCCCATTCAGGCGCTTCCCTTGCAGAAATTGACCTTTTTTGGCAAGAAGCTACGGCAAAGATCCTTAGCAACATTGCTTACATCGAGAAGAGGCCCTCACACCTGATTCGTGGTTAGTAGGCCTCAAGTATGATTTGTCTTGGGCTTGTGAATTGGAAACGGATGGGGCTGTACCATTCCAGAACATCCGAGAAATTTCTGACCCAGCACACATGGATCTCATTGAGATTTTTGACTTCTGGCAATCCGGCGCAGATGCTTGGAAGGTGTGTGTGTGTGTGAAGAGAGCTTTCGAAACGTTTTATCCAACAAGAGACGATGATGAACGATCTCATGACAATGCACAAGGCATTGTTCAAGATTTTGGAGGGTGCTGAAGCCACATTCGAGCCATCACCTTACGGCCAATCAGATGCTCTGACTGGAACATTTGCATGTAACTGCGGTCGACAGTTTACCACAGCCCAGGGACTGGCTACTCACAAGCGACAGGCACACAAAGAGTTCTCCTTGGAACATGACCTGCTTGAAGGTACAGCATGCCCGGAATGCTCCGACATTTTTGGACCATACAGCGCCTTTATCAGCACCTAGCTTATGCATCGGGGCGAACTTGCACCAACCCATGTTCCCAAGCTTTGAGACAATGTGGATTCTATGCGGAATGAGAGATCAACAGATGCCCAAAGAAGTGCGTGGGCTGGGGAGAGTTGAGGCCCAACAAGCACTTGGACCGTTGTCCCAGTCCCGGTGAGGGGACAGCTTGATAAGGATCGCATTCAAGCAGATCTCAATGCACTCTACGAGGACCTTCTGATCCAACGTCAACCTGATGATCTTGACGGAGCAAGAACACAGTTGCGTAGTTTCCTCGCTGAAACGGCTGATGACTGGTTCCAGACCTTCCTGCCAAGAAGGATATGAAGAAGAACTGGCTGAGCAGCTGCCTGACGGATGGCTGTACTATTTCAATTTGAGCAGGGCATGGATGGTTGGGTGGAAGATGGTGGAAGCAGAGATTTTAGCAAGGGGACAGCATTGTTTGCCTGACATCTTGGACACCTTTGTTGACGGTGTTGCCGAGCGCTTAATCGATGATAAATATGCCAAGATGATTGAAGACTTCCCCCGCCAACAAACCCTTCGCCAGATTGCACATTTGGAAGCCAAGCAGAAGATTCTCCAAGTGGACAGTCAAATGCCCTTTCCACATAGGCAACCGAAGAGAGGAACAGCCAACGCGACAGAAAAAGCTGCGCATTCGGCGAAAGTCCCAAGTGTTTTTGAAGCCCAAGAAGGTTTCTTTGCACAGATCAGTAAAGCCTGCTGGCTTGACCTTCCGAAATCTGCCTCTCTTGCGCCAAGCGAAGGAGGAAAGGGTCTTCGTGATCGCACACCTTTTCAGTGGGAGGAGGCGGGTTGGTGATGTACATGAAAGATTCCACTTTTGAGCGCAGCGTGCAGGGCTGCAAATCCTGGTCTTATCCCTTGACACGGCTAACTCGGCCACATTTGGGGACTTTCACCATGAGTCCACGGCCTGCGCAATCTGCTCCGCCTCTACAGTGGAGGGAGGATTGCAGCTACGATCGCCGGGGCTCCGTGTGAGACATGGCCGGCGGCAAGGCACTAATTGTAAGATTCCTACAGCTGAGGGTGACGATACCAAACGCCATCCACGCCCATTGCGTGATTGGAGTCGCTTGTTTGGCAAACTTTACCTTACCTTCCGTGAACTGCGTCAGCCGAGGCAAGGATCTTTCTTCTTCATGCAAATGCTGATCACGGTTGCGTGGACACTGAGGACGTGGGGGGTGTATTTGAGCGAGCACCCTGCTCTCCCAGTAGATCCAGAAGCTGCAAGTATTTGGAACACTCCATGGGTTCGCCTTCTTTGTGCACATCCGGAAGTGGCTCTTCATTTTGTCGCGCAGTGCCCTTGGGGATGCACGGTGAGCAAGTCGACGGGCCTACTTGCAGTGAGGCTGTCTATTTTTGCTGCATCCATGTACAGCCGCCAGCAACAGGGTGCGAAAGCACCCACAGAGGTTGCGATCGGCATTGGCCAAGACGGTCGATTCAAAACGGCTGCTCGCAAGGAGTACCCGATGCAATTTTGTGATGCGCTGGCAGGGACGCTAGTTGACCACATCCAGCACTGTCAGCGACGTAGGCTTTGTAAAGACAGTTTTGCTCTGGATCCTGACCTGTCTGAATGGCTCTGCGAAGCCGCCGTACAGCGCGGTCAAGTATGCAAAGCAGCAACTTGGCTGCCACACTATCAAGGCAGGTGAATTTTCCTAATTCGTGTACATTACTAGTGTACATTGCATTGGCAGCAAGGGACGGCTTTTCACGCCACGAAATGAAAAATGGGGAAAATTAGGTTTTTTGACCACGAGATTTTGGGGTAACCCATTTTCAGACAAACCCACATGTCTTTGGCTGTGATGAGTTGGAGAAGAAATGGATTTGGTGCACCACTTGTAGCATTGGGATTAGTATCGACTTGTTATCAGGGCTAAGGGCTGAAAAGATATGAGCAACTGACATCTCTCAGATCGCCAAAATCTTCCAGGCATATGGCCACGAGCTCTTTCAAAGCTATCGGGACTGGCCTCTTTCACGATTGGATGCATTGGCTGCATTCGTCCAATTTGTCTTTGTATGTTTTTGTCTGAGCACAAGCTACCCATAAATCATCCAACACATATGTTGGTTGATCAAAATTTATTCCATCACGAAGTTCTCATTAAAACGGCAATTTGGGTGTGTTTTCCGGTATGCTATACCTCATCAAACCAAACCAATGGTCCTGCAGTTTTGGTGACCCCGCTAAGGAAAAGAAGATGAGGCTTTTGGAGTTGGATCGTGAACTCATGAAGGCGCCATATTTTGTTCCCCGGCTTTGAAGCTGGCACAGTTGGTTCCACGCGAAATCCAGGGTTGTCGAACATGCTGAGACTTCATGAGAGATCCTCAGAAAAAGAACATGGAACAAAACACATGCGATCATGCAGATCATGCAGATCAGATGTGTGCGGCATGGACTAAGTTTCCAGGTAGAGCGGGAGGAACTAGCTGGAGAGCTGCAAGAAGCACGTGGGGATCTCAGACATTCTGTTGGTGATCAAGATGATAGTCATGGTGGTGGTGTTGCTGCTGCTTTTGGTGGTGATGATGATTGTGGTTGATACCAGATGACTAGGTGTTGTGAATATTATGATTGCATAATATTTATCGTGTCAATGATTAGCAAGTTTGTGATTATTGATATTGATGGTGTTGTTGATGATGATGATGCCTTCGCCCTCTCGAGGCCGAATGAGTTGGAGCTGAGACCCCGCGTCAGATGGCCCTAGGGATCGGCAAAGGATGAGAGGTGATGATGCAAGGAGCAACACAGATCCAAAATGGATATTTAACCATGAACAATTATTCAAAAAAAAAACGGGACTTAAAATGAATTAAACGTCAAAAATTGGGAATTAATCAACAAATTGGGGATGTCCGGTTGCAGCTCTTTGTCGTGTTCTATCCCTAGTTGATCAAAGCATGTTAGAATGATCAACCTAAGTTGACGAGTGTTTTTTGGGACTCGTAACTCGTGACAGGTGATGGATGTGATTCCAAGGGCTGAGAGGATGACGGGGCCATGGGTTTGTAATATTTTTTGGGGGTAAGAAAACAAGCTCTACACATTCCCACCAGAACTCTAGATTGGCCTTGTTGAACAGTCTTTTCTCACTGAGGTTGAGATGTCTTGGAGTGAACAAAAGGTGATGACCAGGAAGATGAACCGCTTCCGCTAGAGTCACTTATCAGCGTCGAGCGTGGCGGGTTCGTTTCATGTTTGGTATTAAGGACTTGCGCGGCGGACAAGTGGCCTTGAATTCTAGTCACATTTAGGACCCATTTTATTTTCTTAGCCATCCGGTCACGCGGATGCCAAATTTGCAGCTCTGCTCCAGGGTTTTTGACGCATCGTGGCTGTCCTTTGGGTCTTGCCTTGGCATTGACGGTTGGGGTTGCTGAAGCTCTGTAAGTATCATACTAGTACATATAATATTATATATAGTAATATATACATACATATATATATATATAGATAGTCATCCTGGAGTAGATAGAATATCGGACATTTTCAAAAAGGATTTTCAAAAAAATAAATAAATAGTTGGAATATGTTCAAAACCCTCAGTTTTTACACGTTTTTCGTCTTTGTTAAGTCATTTTTAGCCAGTTTTGGACACGTGTCTGGAGAAATTTTGAAAAATACAAAAATCAAACAACACCAAAAAATAGATAGAATATTGTTTCAAACCAGGTAGATAGAATATTTTGAGGGAATTGTGAACCACGCGCAGGCCCCACAGCAGCTTGAGACCCTCCAAACCATATTCCAACTACCAGTTTTCGACCTTTGCGGGGGGGGTCGAAATATTCCAACTACCTATTTTTTTTAAGGTGGCCGACATCCAACATAATTCCATCATAAATCCCGCACCATTCAAAAAAAATATTCTATCTACTTTAGGATCACTATATATATATATTTGTGTAATTCACATGAAGCACGGTTCAAACGTAGTTGCCCCAATTCACACATTTGCCCGCACCTGCTGCCAACAATTCAAGATTTTGGTAGTAAAGTAGTAATGTAGTGAACCTGACAATCGTCCATACTGGTACCCATCCATACATATCCAAACCTCATTTGTCCAAGGTTACTGCTTGGGAGCATTAAGATGTGCTGAAACATGTTGAAACCATACCCCAGAGAGGGGTTGATGGTTGGGCATATGACACGGTTTCCGTCTACATTTCCATGGAAGGGATGATAAGATGTTTCATGGCTCCACGCGACTGCTGAAGCAGATCAAAGATGATGGGCAGAACTGCTTCGTTAGTTTTTTGGCACTGGACTGACTGCAGACTTTCAGAACTTCAACTTGGTTTCATCCGGCTAAATTCAACTACTGGAAATCATCACCAAAGATCATCCATTGATCCAAGTATTTGCAAATGTCCTTCGCTTTGTTGACGGCCCAATTTGGCTCCTGCTAGCTGTCGTTTCCATGATCATGGATTGTTTTTCTTCTTTTAGACCTTGGGGCAGGTACCCGGATATGAAAAACACGTTTGAACCGAATGCACCCAGCATCACCCAAGTGTCTCTGATCCGATCTTTTGGGGCGAAATATGTTTGTCCGTAAGTCTGCAGTTGTCATTGAATTTGCATGTCAGAGTTGTTTGTTGGGGGGTGCCACCCGCAACTGATTCAGACTCTGGGAGGCTCCCCTCGGCCCCCCGTGGCGACGCGGTCGAATGTTTCGAAAATGCAGGTTGAAAAAAGTGCAACCAATTAGGTGTGTATGTATAGAATGGAATGGAATGGAATGTACTGTAGTGTAATATAATGTGAAATACTGTAACGTAAGGTAAGGTAATGTAATGTGAAGTACTGTAACGTAAGGTAAGGTTAAGTACTGTAACGTAAGGTCAGGTAATGTAATGTAATGTACTGGGATGCAATGTAATGGTATGGTATGGTACCGTATGGTATGATATGATACGGTGTGGTATGGTATGTAATGTCATGTTTTATTGTCATTGATTACTGTATAAGTATAAGTATATTACATGCTTGAATACTGTGTTTCTTGTTATTTAAAGAAAATAAAATATGTAGAATATATATATATATGTCAAATGATACCTTGTTGGAAAAAACTGGTTAAATTATTATATAAGTAAAATTTAGTTTGCAAACTTCCGAATTACGGATAAGTGTCTATATGGTTAGTCTTGTTATCATGTCAAACAAAGAGGCAGTAATAGTAGTTCGTATAGCTGGGAACAATAGAGGAGAGTACCAGTGCGGGATCACGTGAATTCACGGGCAAGGATCCTCTCCAGCGCGAAACCTTGTGTTTTTACCGGTCTGGTGGGTTCTGAGGTTGCGAAAGTAGGGTCTGTGGTTCCGCAGGTGCGGGCCTCGATTTGGGAAAAAATACATTAAATTGCTTAGCGAGAATTCGATTTTGCCAAAAAAAACGCACAAAAAACTGATGCGCAGACTCGCACGAAAAAGTGACTGTTGACACTTTGCGAAGGCTGATATATTGGTAGCCTTCATTTGGATTCTTTGGCCACCCAGGGCATGTTGCTTTCTTATTATTACTACTAATATTACGTTAAGGGTGGCACCGCAATATTACGTTAAGGGTGGCACCGCGCGCGCGCAAATCGGCTGATCCGAAAATCCAAAAAATGTCAATTATTTTGGCGTTTTGGCCGAATACATCTTTAGTCTGCACGAAGACATAGCGAATACTCTTTTGCTCGACCTTTTCAGGACCGACCTCCCCAATGGCACCGAAATAATCCGATTATTTTTAATTTGGAAAAATGGGACATTCCAGAATCGGAGCGTTTTTTTTGCGATTTTCATTTTACGGTCCCAGTCCTGGTCCCTCGCTTCTCCCCTGGTTCGATTCCCCCTAGGTCCGTCCCAAGCCGCTGCGAGCTATTGCTATTGCCTTTGCTTGCCGAGCTTGTGCGCTATTTTCTCTGTGCTCTTTCTAATACGCACCTCTGCGAGACTGCCCGCTTGCTGCACCCGCCTTCTACCGCACACACTGTGCTTGCTTCCTTGTGCGCGCTGTTTTGGGGAGCTTCTTTGGGACGCGGCTTTCTGTAGCAACTTTGGAGAGCAGCTTTGGGGAACAACTTTGGGGAGCAACTTTGCAGCTTTGCAGCATCATTGTCGAACAGTGTTTGAAGAACGACAGCTTTGGGGAGTAGCTTTAAGCAAAGCAACTTTGGGAAGCAGCTTTCGGCAACAACTTTAAGCGGGAGATTTAGCAGCTTTGGGGAGCAGCTGTGCGGAGCAGCTGGGGAACAGCTTTGTGGAGCAGCTTTGGGGAGCAGCTTTGGGAAGCAGGAGCAGCTTGGAGGAGCAGCTTGCGCGGCAGCTTCGAACAGAAGCTTTGAAAAACCGCAGCTTTGGGGAGCAGTTTTGGGGACTAGCTTTAGAACGCAACTTTGGGGGGCAGCTTTCGGTAGCAACTTTGCGGAGCAGCTTTCGGGAGCCGCTTTGGAGAATAGCTTTCAAATTTGGGGAGCCGCTTTGGGAACAAACAGGTTTGAAGGCAGCTTTGGGGCAACCGCTTTGCGGCGGTCCCCAAAGCGAAGCAGCTGCGGGGAACCGCTTTGGGGAGCAGCTTTGAGGAGCAGCTTTGCACGGCAGCTTTGAACAGCAGCTTTGGGGACTAGCTTTAGAACGCAACTT